CGCTCTTCCCGGTCGAATGCCCCTCTTCCTCCTTGAGACTTTGTCCTGCAAAGTTGTCTTGTACGTGTTGCCCTCGCTCACTGTGCGCCTGTTCCCATCCAGAGATTACCGCAGGGCTGGTCTGTCCATGGACGTTTATTGCTAGCAGGAGAGGAGAGCTGAGAACTGCAGATTGTGCCGCTGATGGATGTGTCGTCAAGGCACCAAATGGTGGCTGTCCTGAAAATTTTGCTTGTGCTTTCCCCCCCCCCCCCTTTTCTGTTCTCTTCCAGTCCTTGGCTCATGGGGTGTCACCTACCCTGAAGCCCTGCAGGGCCTGATGGGCTCATGCGTGGTCATCCCCTGCACCTTCAGCTACCCCAGCAGCGTCTCGGCCAGCGCCGGCATCGTGGCCATCTGGTACAAGGATTACAATGGCCAGAAGACCGTGGTCTACCACTCGGCAGCCCAAGACGAGGTGGACGACGGGTTCAGGAACCGCACCAGGCTCCTGGGGGACCCCGCCGAGCACAACTGCACGTTGCTCCTCTGGGAGGTGACACCAGAGGACAGCGGGACCTACAGGTTCAGGTTTGAGATCGTGGATGGTGACCGGTGGTCAGCTGAGCAGGACGTGGTGCTGATGGTGTCGGGTGAGTGCTGCTGCGTCCGTCTGTCTGTCCTGGCTGTGAGTGCTGTGCGGACCTCCCATCTTCTGTTCTCCAACCCCAGATGTCCCCGAGCGCCCAACCACCACGGCCAACGAGGAGGTCTCCGAGGGAGCCGTATCCACCTTCGTCTGCTCCACTCCCTACGCCTGCCCCTTCGGCAGCGTCACCCTGAGCTGGAGGGGCTACAACGCGCAGGTCTCCTCTCTGTCCACCAGCGTCCAGCTGGACACCAGCGGGGTGAATCTCCGCGAGACCCTCACTACCTCCTTCTCCTGGAAGGACCAGTCTAAAAAATTGCTCTGCGAAGTTTCTTTGGGGTCCAAGAAGGCCACGGGAGAGGTCGTCCTGCGGGTGAGACGTACGTGGGGCAGCTTTGCACACATGGGGCAGGGCAGAGGGAGAGATCTGCCATCTCTCCTGCAGTTGCTGTGCAACTGTCCAAGCACATCCCTCCGCAGCCAAGGTGCTGGAGCCGCTTCTGTCCCCCGTTGCTGCCATCAGTCCTTGCCCCATTTTTCAGTTCTCTGAGCAGAGCTGCTCTCTGCTCCGGGGAGGACCCGTCCGCTCGGAGGAGAGCGGCTCAGACCTCCCTTCCCGGGCGACCTGCAGATACAGACGTCAGGAAAGTCTGTGGCAGCGTCCTGCGGATCCTGCTGCCTGTTCAACTTTACCTGTCTTCTGTCCGCCTGTCCTGCAGATGCCCCTAAGGACATCAAGGTGTCGATGAACCCTTCCACACGGAACGTCCGCGTGGGCGACACGGTGTCCTTCACCTGCACCGTGAACAGCAGCTACCCACCGATCGCCACATACCGGTGGTACAAGGATGGCATGGCCGTGGCCGACGAGCAGATCCTGACCATCCAGCAGGTCCGTCGCGAGGACTATGGCCGGTATCACTGTGAAGCCAAGAACTCGGTTGGGTCTGGAGTGGCCCCGGCCGTGACTCTCTACGTCTTCTGTGAGTACCGGGGGAGCTCTCACAGGATGAGGACTGCCCTCCCCATGGCTTTGGAGGGGGACCAGCGCGGTGGGAGAAGGGGGCAATTTAATCGCTGGGTCCTGAATCGGCTGAAGGTTGATGCTTGTGGGAAAGCATCTCCCCCTGGAATGAGAACATCTCGGCTAGGTGCTGCTGGAGATTGTGCCTGGCAATTAATGATGAAGGAAACTGAGGCACAGAGTGAATTACTTGCTCGGGGAGCCTTGCATTAAAGTCGGAGATTGGATCCCCGCTGTCAGGTGCAGGATGGGGGCCACCTCCATTGCTGGTCTGCCACCCTGGGGGCTGGAGGGGTCTCCTCTCCCCAGACTCCAGCCTGGTTACCCCTCAGGGGTTGGGATCAGGGTCTGCCCAGCAGGATCTCCTCCCCTGCCTCTGGGGCAGCTCTGACCATGCTCCGTCTCCTCCAGCTGCAGAGATCTCCATCAGCCCGGAGGCCGAGGTGCGGGAGGGGACCACGGCTGTGTTGTCCTGCAACGTCCCTGGCAGGGAGAGCTGGGACCTCAGCTATACCTGGTACAAGAACAGCATGTGGCTCAAGGAGGGTCCTGCTCACTCGCTGGTGTTTCATGATGTGGCCGTCGGCGATGCGGGCTACTACTCCTGCAAGGTGCAGAACGACCTGGGCAGCGTGTCGTCCCAGGCTGTCAGCCTGAGCGTGACATGTGAGTGCCTACGGCCGCTGCTGCCGCTCTGCTGGGGACCGGACGTCCCCCACAGAAGAGGGTGCCTTTGTGTCAGGTGCTGTACGAATCCCCCGAAAAAACAAAATGCCTGCCCCAAACACCTGCTGTCTGGCTGTGTGGGGTGTTCGGTCCATCTGGGTGGCTGTAAGAACACAGTAGGAGATGCTCGTTCCAGGCATGAGCAACGTTTGAAGACACTGTAAAGTTATATTCTCTGTAACGTGGACCTGTTCATTCATTACAACATCTATCATGCATCCACTGCGCCGTTACAGGCCATAAACTCCGCTTAGAGCTTGCAAAGCGACGATCCAGCTATGATAACAGCAGCTCGAGAGCTTTTGCAAGTCAGGGGAAAAATAAAACGGTGTTGGGTTTGGCTTTGACATTTCTGTGAGTAAATATAACCCGCTTACGTAAGTGAGAAAGCAGCTCCAAAGAGAAGCTGTGTTTGCTGGCAGGGGTGGGCTTAAACACGGCACGTGGTTGGGTACTCAGGTAGGGGACACCGCGCTGGGTGTCTGGAGCTGCTGTATCCAGCTGCTGCACCGAGGGCCACCAAAGCCAGTGGTTTCTTTCCCTGTCGCACAGATCCTCCCCAGACCCCGACTATTGCGCTGTTCCAGGAGGCGCAGGACGGCAAGCTGGCTATCGTGCACTGCACCGTGGACAGCCACCCGGAGGCCACCATGGCCCTCTACCACGACGGGAACCTGGTGGCCACCACCCAGTCCCACGCCGCACCCAACCAGCGGCTCAGCATCACCACCTCCCGCAACTCCCTGCGGCTGGAGATCCGTGCCGTGGTGCCCGCAGACAGTGGGGAATACCGCTGCACGGCCAGCAACGCCTACGGCAACGCCACTGCTGCCAGGCCCTTCACCGTCCAGAGTAAGTCCCGTCATCCTGGTTGCATCTTGGTGGAAAAGCAGTGCCAGAAGTTTAGATTTCCCCAAGGGCTTGCTGCTGTCCCTAGATCTTCGAGCATTGTCCCTTCTCCCAAGGTCTTCCAGGCACAGATGAAACCAGGGGTCTATCCAGGCTGTTTCTGCATGGCAGGATGGGCCACACGGTCCTAAAGCCTGGCTGGGACCTGCTGGAGCTCCCCAACCTCCTCCAGGGCATGTGTGCCCGGGCGCAGTCGGCCTCAGTGAGCCAGGATGTGGTAGGGACGCTCCAGGATGAAGGCAGCGAGTGGGTGCAGGAGCTCAGAAGGGACCCAGGCCCCTGGTGTTGACACTGGTCACCTCCCCAGCTTGGCCCTGGAAAGGCATCTGCTGTCACCTAAACTGTATCCAAAGCAGGGACAGGTCACGGTGCTCTCAGGGCAGGTGCCCTCCCTCCTCCAGCACTTCTCCATGTTTTCAGATGTTTCAAAGCCATTTGCAAAGTTGCAGTTGTTTTTTTTTAATTTTTTTTTTGAAAACGCCACAAAATCTATAACGCAGCTTGTCAGAACCGTTTCTTCCCTTTCCCCGCAAGCCCTGAGCCATGAACGATGCCCGGCAGGAGCGCTTCCTCCTGCTTTGACCCCGGCGCTCAGCCGCTTCCCCAGCTCCGGAGCCCGCGGGGCGATGCGGCCCCTTCGGCTGCATCCGGCCGCAGAGGGGGGAGGCCCCGGCGAGGCCGTGCCA